TAATGGCTCTATTTCATTGTTAGTCATTGTTGATCTCTTACTGTGCCTAATTTATAAATCAGACTTTATTGTAGATGTGCACATACAGGGGAAACATAGCTCATGCAGGGTTTGGTGCTATCTGCAGTCTCGGGCAGCCACTGGGGGTCCTGGAACGTGTCCCCGTGGGCGAGGGGGAGCTATGGTGTGGCGGAGGTCATTATCTGCTTTGCAAAAGGAGTCGCAGTGAAGGGCTCTGAAGCAGAGGCTCTTTCTGCAGCACTTCCTTGGCTTTGGTTTACAAAATTTCAAATGCACAAACTCTGCTGGCACCGCAGGTGGCCCCGTTCTTGGGCACCCCCAACTAAGTGCCTGTGACCTCGCATGGGCTGGACGCCCTTCCTTCTGAGAGCCCTGCCTGGGAACTGGCCACTAGTGTCTGGCTAGCCCTGACGACCCTCCGTCCGCTTGGACTGCTGCCCCAGGAGAAAGCTGTTTTCAAATCCCTGGCAGGGGCCGCCAGGATGCAAATGCAATCTCCCTTTCAAAGACACCTTCCATTGTGTCAAACCCGACCTCGGCCACCCACGGGGGCAGGACGGAAGGTTTCTGCAAAATTACAGAGTGGCAGCTAAATACAAAGTCCCAGGAAGAGGAAACCCAGACCGTTTCATCTCTGGCAAGAAAAGGGCCGAGTTCAGCCAGGAGGGAACAGACAAGCTACCTGCAAGGAGACAGAGAGTGAAGCAGTGTCCGTGGGTGACGGACGGGCGGGCTCGCAGGGGAGCATCTGCCGGAGCTTCGCCTTGGCTCCCCAGGCAGGTGGAGGCCACGCCAGGGCTGAGTTCCGGACGAGGCCTCACTGGCGACAGCACTGGCCCGTGCCTTCCCGCAGTGGGCTGCTTTCTTATACATGCCCAACCCCAACCCTGAGTCTTTATTTCCTTGAAAAATGTGACGATTCTGAGTCAGGTGTGCTGTATTCATATCCTGTGGCTGCAGCAATTCACGGCTACAACTGGTGGCTTAAAACGGCGGACGTCGGTTGTCTCGCGGTTCCGGGGTCCGGAAGTCTGAAGTCAAGTTGCCTGGTGGGGGCTGAGCTCCCTCCGCAGGCTCCAGGGAAGAGTCCTTGTCTCTCCCGGCATCTGGATGCTCCTGGTGCTTCTCGGCGCCTCAGTCTTCTTTCTGTGTCTCCTCTGTGTGTCTCCTAAAGACAGGAGCCGCTGGACTCGGGGCCACCTGGATGACACAGGGGGATCCAGTCCCGAGATCCTTAACCTAATTCCATCTTCAAACACCCTTTTCTCAATAAGGCCACGTTCACAGTTTCCAGAGGTCACTTCATGGCCATCTCTTTTAGAGGACCATCACCCAGCCCCTTACAGATGGTAACAGAGTCGGGGTGAATTGTGCCCCCCCAGATTCATATGGTGAAGTCTCAACTCCCAGCACCTGGGAATGAGGCTGCAGTTAGGGAAAAGGTCTCTGAGGAGTGATGACACTAAATGAGACCATAAGGGTAGAGTCTGGTCCAACAGGACTGGCGTCCTCATGGAAAGGGTGGGTGACACGGGGCGTGTCTGTGCACAGAGAAACGCCGCGTGAAGACACAGCAAGACCACGGCATCTGCGAGCCACAGACGGCATCCGCGAGCCGAGGAGAGAGGCTTTAGGAAACCAGCCCTGCTGCACCCCTGACCGTGAACTTCCAGTCTTTAGAAGTGGGAGACTACAAAGTCCTGCAGCTTGAGTCGCCCAGCCTGTGCCGTCTTGTCACGGCAGTCCCAGCGAGCACGGATGCTGATCTAGTCCGTGTGCAGCACCTGTTGTAAGTCATCTGCCAGCCATTTTGCTCCAGGTATTAAAATGTCACAGGGTGGGAGGAAACCCAGGCTGTGGGGTCAGGAAGAACAGGTTGTGACTGGGCCCCAAACCTGCCACCTGATTTTGGGCAAGCTTCTTAATTGATTTAATGTCACAGGTCTCATCTGCATCAAGGAGACACTAGTACCCACCCCACAGCCTTAGCAGGACGTCGGCACGAATATCCCCCTGGCGTCTGACGCCGGGCAAGAGCTCAGGAGCTGGTAACTGCTGTTATGGATGTTTCCAGAACATGGTTGCATTTCATCCTCACGCCAGCCACCTCCGGCTGGAAGCTCTTCCAGAGGTGCGAAGACTTCGGCTCACAAGTGTGAGGTCTCTTGCTCAAGGTCGAATATTCAGTTAGCACCAGGGGCTGGGATTGTCACCTCCATCCAGTCCCTAGAGTCTGATGTTTAAATTCAGTTTATTCCCAGGCGCCGGTCTCCACGACCCCTTGTCCGTTATCTCCCTTGAGCACTCCTGGAGGGAAATAATGGGAACACAGGTGCGGTAGAAGCTAAATGTGGAGTTTATTTGCAGAATGATGAGGCTTGAATGTTTTAGAAAAGAAAAACAACTTTACAGGAAGAGAAAAATGGTATTTTTTGCCTGTCACTTAGAACAAATAGCGATTGGTTCTTCTGCTATTTTCCAAAGGGGTTCTGTCCTTTCTGCGTGAGGAAGAATGCTCCAGGAATGACAAATGGCAATTGCTCTCCCGAGTTTCTGGAGCTGGCCGCTCTCCTCCCCTGTGCCACACGGTGGGATGGGGCGCTCCGCAGTGCACCCAGGGTCCCCCCAGGCTCCCCGAGTGCCCCTAGGGAGCGGGGATCCCACGGCTATGCCCTGTGGTGTCTCAGCCTGTGCTCTTCAGTGATGCCGACAGGACAATGGGGCACAGCAGGAGCAGCGGGGTGAGCAGGGTGGCGATGCACATGTGTGTGCGCTGAGCACACGCGTGCCTCCGGGTGGCCAGGGCGCCGTGGTCCCCAAGGCAGCTGGGCTGGCCCAGATTGGCTGCTGTGATGGTAGCGGTTGCAGCTGTGGGAGAGAAGGAGGAGTCAGCACGGGGGCGGCGTCTGCCCATCCCTGAAGCCCGTGGTGTGCACGAGACTTCAGTCCCCGCACAAAGACAGGACAGGAGTCGATACCGATGAGCAGCTGTCAGCCGCGTTAGCCCATGATCACAGAATGCAAGCGTGCACATGCACACAGCAGCGAGGTGTATTGGAGAGGCGTTTGGATTCCTCAAAGAGTTTAGAGCAGGCATCCTCAAACTATGGCCCGAGGGCCACATGCAGCCCACTGAGGACATTTATTCCACCTGCCGGGTGTTTTTGCCACCGCTGCCTGTCCTGCTTAGCAGCCGACTCGTCCCGGGCCCACAGTGTGCATGTGTGGAATGTGCGCCCCAATCTCCAGCGGTCTGAGGGACAGGGGACTGCCCCCTGTTTAAAAAGTTTGAAGACCCCTGGTTTAGAGTCTCCAGTGTTGAAAACTGCTGCAACATTGCAAAGCCGATGCACACTTAGAAATTAAATTCACAAATCACTGTGTTTGATGGAAAAAAGTGCTATTTCCATACAGAGCTTCAGACGATCCAATTATTAATGAGGAAGATAATTTTCAAATCAAATTTTTCTTCGTACATGAAGACATAGCATTAAAATTTAGAAACAGGTATTTGAATTATACGCAAAACATGAAGCCACTTTTGGTTTCTTATATAACTCCTTAAGTTGCAGAAAAATGTCAGAAGAAACACTAAGCTCCCGCTGTGTTCATATGAGTTTACATTTGAATTAATTTTAGCATCACACGCAACTGATTTGTCTCAAGAGTTAAATCTTTTTGGAAAAATTCTTTCACCAGGATTATAAGTTGTAGATGTACTAAAATTTACATTTCAAAATAGCTTATGGGAAATGTATCCTGATTTCATCATGACCTATAAATACTCTAACCAGCTCCAGGTACTGCTGCATCAGCAGAAAATGTCTTTCAAAATTAAATATTTTGAAAATTTTCAAAAAAAATTATCGCATTTGCCAAGAGCAACTGACGTTCTTTTCGATTATATTGATGAAAAAGGAAGTTGCTGAAAATATAGATTTTTGAGGACCTAATCAATAAGTTAGTAGTCAGGAAAAATCATGATCAATCAAGACATTATGTTAATAAAGTATGAGTGTTTATTACCTTGCATCAAATTATGACTTCAAAATATTATTTCGCAGTTTATTGGTGTCAGTTGTCACTCACATATCACTGTCACCCCCATGACACTCTTGAAGTCACAACATTTTGTAAGGAAAAAGGTTTATGTTTAGGATCTTCACCAGCACTTTCCTTCTGATTTTTAACAAGAGCCACCCCATTTGGGTTTCCCCTGTCTTGTTAACTTAAGTAGCTGGTGCTGGTGATAAGATTGCCTTGGATATAAGATTCCTGGAAGCTCAGAATAATGACAGACAAGCAAAGAAGGAAAAGCAGAAAGGCCATAGAGTGGTTCCCTGTTGTGGCCTGTTTACAGGACGGATAACGAACACAGAACACACACACAAAAAACCCAGAACACAAAGAAAAACGTGGACACACATACAAAGACAGTTGACTTGAGTGTTAATACACCAGCTCAGTTTTATTTTTATGCTCTAAAAAATTAAAGTTAGTTCCTTATACATAACCACCCAGATATTGCAGCAATGGCCATAAATTCCAGAACATGTAGCCTTAAGGACACAGATGTCCTCTGACTCAAAGTTTCCAGGTGGTTGCTCTAGGCACCAGGCATAGATCACGGACTGAGACTAGCAAGGATGGGCAAGGCAGCCACAGGGGGCATTTCTCGTCCCCAGTTTGTTTTTAGGCTGATCCCCTGCTGCTGTGCATGGCTTAGGTCGCCCCCTCCCTTGAGTGGTCTTACCTTTCATTGACTAACCAGCCATCTTATGGGGCTTAAGCAGCAATCACAGGAACAATGTGTTTATTGTGTGGCCTCCAGTCCCCCACTGCCATGGGGCGGGGCAGCTCTTGCTTACTTGCAGCTCAGGTCCTTTGTTATGCCTCTAGGCAACAGCCTTGTTTGTCACAAGGACCCTGTTCCGGAACGCATTACTCTCAAACGCTCTGGGCAGAGCACGTACATTACTCACTAAATTTAATTCTTAAACTAGGAAAGTATAATGTCAGCCCCAACAGTACCCCATGTTCTGGCACTTTGCTTCTGAGCATGGGGACCCAGATCCCTGGGCTGCAGCCCCAGGACTGGCCCAGCCCGAGTCTCCTTGGCCCCCCTCCCGGTGAGGACTGCTCCTTGTTTTGGAGCTCAGAGCCTGGCTCTGAGTTGTCCCAGCCACTCTCTGTTCCCTCCCTGTCAAGTGAGTATTCCCACCTGCTCAGCTGGTCTGCATAGGCATGTTGGGACCCAACCTGGATTCGGTGTGAGTGGGCATGGAGCACGTGACAGCCCTCATCCCGGTGTGCAAGAATCTCAAAAAGGGTCGAAAACATCAACAAGAAACAAGGCAGAACACAGAGGAGCCCACCTAGGAATTTGTTCAGCTTATACAATTGTGAACATTGCGTGTGTGCGTGCGCGCGTGCGTGTGTGTGTTTGAAGTGCTGGTGAATATCGGCTATTTCTACTCCTTACATAAGCCCGGCGGATGGGGTAAAATCTGCTGAGTGTATCAAAGGCCCATTTTTAATTCATAGTGGGTTGGAGAAATAAAACTTACTTTTTTGAGAGAGAAATCTACAAGGAGTTTTTGGAAGCCAACCAGTTTAATAAACACAGGCTCTAAGTAAATAGCATAAAGAATTTATGAGCATCGCTTTCTGCATTTATGTATAGCGCGTTGTGTGGGGCCCAGGAAAAGAACAAATCGCGGCTCTGCATTCCTTCCAGGCCCTGCAGGCTGAATCCTCACGCTGCGTGGTGGCCCGAAGTGGCCCAGCTGTGAGGAGCCATCGTGAGGAATAATGTTTGTTTAATACGGAGAGCGCTGGCATCACACAGTCTGCAGGCTGCACCCCGGGCAGAGAGGAGAGGGAAGACAGCCGAAGACTTCAGGCCCAGCTCTTTAAAACTTGTTCTGGGTGAGCAGACATGTGCAGGGCCCCACGCCAGGCTCGCAGTTCCTAGAAGCAGTGGGAGCCGGTGGCAGTGCGGGCGGGGGCTTTGTGATCCCGGCTGCCAACTGCTACATCTATGCGGCTCCCTCTGCCTCGGGCTGGTCTGGCTGGTCCGAAGGTCACCTGACCCCCCTGCCCGCCTTGGCCCCTCTTGGATCTTCCTCCAAGTCTGGGCTTGGGGAACAGGAACGCCGTGTTCTGGGGGTCGAGGCTGGCCCCCGGTCGGCCCTCCCCTCTCAGCTCGATGCACGCGGGGACCAGATCTGAGTACAGATGGAGCCAGCTCTGAGCCGGCCTGGCCCGACCTTCCACCCCCTGGGGTTCCCCTTGCTGCCCCGTGGTCACTGCTGGTCTGGCGTCCCAGGAGGGCTGGGGAGCAGATGGCTTCGGGGCGGGGCGTGGGGGTGGGGGCAGCAGACGTCTGCCCAGTGGAGAAGGGGGAGGGGAGGGCATCCCTGACAGCTCCAAGGCGGGTCCCAGGCTGGGGCGGCGCCCGGAAGTCAAGAGCAGGCTCTTAAAAATATATAATTTTATTGTGGTAAAATACAAGCAACCTAAAATTCACCATTTTAACCATGGTGTACTGGTGCTCACGCTGCCGCACTCCCGTCCCCAGCAACCCTCTCCAGAGTGCGTCCTGTCTTCTTCTCAAAGGGGGACCCGGCCCCTAGAGCGCCCGCTGCCTCCCTCCCTCCTGGGCAGAGGTGTGAGCAGGCAGAGCCCCCGGCAGGGCCTCGACGTGCTCTGGATGGGCAGGGCGGCCGGCCGGGCGGGGGCAGCAGGCGCTGGCCTGGCAGGCCTCATCAGGGCTCTCTGCCGCCCGTCCCTGTGTGCCCGGGAACCGGAGAGGAAAAATGAGTAACCAGCCGGGTTCATTTCAAGCCCCATTACAAGCACATTAAAAGCGAATCGAGACCCGCCTGGTCCCCGGGAGGAGTGCGGGTTCCCCCAGCACTTGGGCTCTTCTTGGGGCTCCCAGTATCCACTAAACACAGTGACAGCACGGCCCAGGCCGTGGCGGGGGACCCTGCCCCAGCTTCCCCCAGACGGAGGGTGTCGGCACAGACGGGGAGCCCCTGAGGGGGCAAGGAGTGGACAGGAGCCCAGGGAAGGGGGCTGGGTCACCTATGCAGAGTTGAGGATTGGCCGGTCAGAGCCCCCTGCTCTGGGGGCCACAAGGACCCCGACCCAAGGCAGGCCTTTCCCATCCCCCGGTGGAAGAGAGGGGACAAGGCGTCCCTGAATCTCAGCCTCCAGCCAGGCCGGGACAGAGCCCCAGGGCAGCCCCGCCCCAGGTGCTGGGTAGGGGCATGTGGGTGGGCATGAGCGGAGCATGGGGTCCACGTGGCAGGCAGCCTGCAGGGTCAGCCACCTGGGCTGTGCTTCCCTGCCAGGAGCCCACCTGAGACCTCGCAGGGGACATACACGGCTCATCTCACCAGGCGGGAGGAGAACTCGTCCCACTTAAGGGAGGCTCTCAGGTGCTGCAGACGTGACCTGCCCTGCGGTTCAGGGTGGGGCAGGCCCTGATCACAGGTGCCCACCTGTCGGGAGGACACCAGGGCTGGGCAGGGCAGTCGGGGTGGCTGGACACCCAGCCTCACAGGGGCTCTGGGCTGGGTGGCAGAACTGTGTGCGGAGGGCACTAGTTTGAATCCAGGTGCGTCTGACTCAGCCTGGATGGGCCACCTGGATGTGCACCCCCGATTCCCTCCCCGGCTGCCTTGAAGTTAGCCCCCCGGCCTCTGGCTGGGGCCAGTCACCGTGGGAGAGGCCTGGGCATGGCCTGCAGAGGGATGGTCTCAGCGGGGGCTTGCCCAGTGGTCAGGGGTGTACCACTCACCTCAGCTTCCTTCAAGAGACATTTGGGGACTCCCTGGGCTGGGGGCCAGGCACGCACCAAGGGGACAAGCTCCTGGGGCTGCACCCCGCATGGGAAGCGCCAGAGCCGAGTGGTGGCAGGAGGAACGGGTGCATGGCCCGGTGACCCCATTGCTGGGTCTGTTCCCAGAGAGCTAAAAGCAGGACTCAGCGATCGAGTGCACCTGCGATCATGGCAGCCAGAGGCGGGAGCAGCCCGTGTCCCCAGCAGACGGACAAACATGGGTGGTCTGTAAATGATCTGGAGCTTCACTCGGCCTCAGAAGGAGGGAAATTCTGGTGCTGCTACAACACGGATGCCCCTGAGGACTTACGGGCAGTGCGTGAGCCAGCCACAGAAAGGCAAGCGCTGGGGACTCTGCTCACACCAGGGCCCCAAGCGGGCGAAAGGTGGGTGGGACGGTGGGAGCCGGGGCTGGGGGAGGTGGGTGCTAGGGTGTCGGGGGACAGAGATTAGGTCCGGGGGGGATGGGACAGTTCTGGCGGTGATGGTTACACAGTGACATGGACGTAATTAATGCCACTGAGCTGCACACTTAAAAATGGTCAGGGTGTTAAATTTTGTTATGGGTATTTTATCACAATTAAGGGAAGAAGAAGAAGCATGAAGTGACCTAAACCATGTCCCGGGAGAAGAGGCCAAAGGACCTGGGATGTTGAAAGTGAAGGAAGGAAGAAATGAATGAATGAATGAGTGAGTGAAAGACAAGCGAAGGGACCGTTGGGGGACCCTGACCACTGTCCCCCTTCCACTGCAGCAAGAGCCCTGCATGTGCAGAGCTCGGACGGGGCCCAGGCGTGGGCGCTTCCAACCCCTCCCCCTGGCTGTGGGAGGGCCCCAGCTGTGGGAGGGCCCCAGCTGTGGGAGGGCCCTGGCTGTGGGAGGGCCCCAGCTGTGGGAGGGCCCCAGCTGTGGGAGGGCCCCGGCTGTGGGAGGGCCCTGCTGTGGGAGGGCCCTGCTGTGGGAGGGCCCCGGCGGTGGGAGGGCCCCACAGGGCCCTGAATGCTGGGCCGTGGGGTGCAGGGTGCTCCAATATGGGGTTTCCCTCAGACCGGGGCTTGGCTTAGGCGACCCTTAGGACCCTCCCAGCCCTGGAATGTTCTACGACCTCCAAGAGCTCCTCATCTCTTGGAGAAGCCTAAGGGGCGCCTAGCCAACAGCTCCATTCCAGGTGCCCAGGGTCAGATCTGCACGAGCTTGGCCTGATGGAGCACAGGGGCAGGGGGAGCGAAGCCCCAGCTGGTCTGCAGAGCCCTCACCCTTACACCGGCCCTGCACCCCCGTCCCCGCCACTGGTCGGTCCCTGGAACCAGCCCTGGCACCACTTCCATCCACTCTGACCCCCTGTGCCAGCACCTGCTGTCTGTGTCCAGGGCCCCAGGGCTGCAGCCAGGCTGCAAGATGTTCTCTGTGCACGGACTCGAAGTTGCTGCATGCCGTGCCTGTCCCCAGAGGACCCTATGTCATGGGGTCCCCTGAGCCCCTTCTCCTCCCAGGCCCTGCCTACAGCCCTCCCTCCCTCCGCACTTGCAGCCTCCTGCCCATGCCATGGCCCCTTCTGTCCCCTCTCTGCTCAAAGCACCTGCCAAGGACTGCACCTCCTGGGGCCGGTGTCTTTTGGGCCCGCCCTGCCTTCTGCAGACCCGAGTGAGTCCCGTCTGCAGCTGCAGCGCTGAGAGGCCGAGGTGGCGAGGGTGGCAGCTCCACCTTCCAGGCACCTGTCAGGTGCACGGCCCAGAGCTGGTGACCGGCCACCGCCCAACCCGTCTTATCCCACTGCTGCCAGTCCTCGCAGCCAGGCTGGCAAGATTGTCCTCGTCCTGCCTGATTGACGGTGGCAGAAGCCACCTTGGACCGTTGACAGCCACTGAGTAAAGCTAGATCCAGTTTCCCGGAGACAGCGGGTCCCGCCTCAGTCCTGGGCCCCGTCCCTGCAGGACCCGGTCCTGGCACATCTGTGCCCACCCCGGTTGCTGCTGGCTGGCCGGACGCCACCTCCCTGCTGCCTGGGTGGAGGAGGGGTGTGGGCCCCCCGAGGCCCCAGGACTACCCCCCCCCAGCCCCGAGCAGCCGCCCCGCCTCCCGGGCCACCTGCTCCACTTCCCCTTCCAAGAAGCGCTCGTCCACCGCTTGCTCCGGCTGGTGCCAAGGGGGAGCGTGTCTGCTCCGCCATGCGGGCCAGGAGCACAGACAATATGGAATCTGCCAGGAACACGGGCTCTGCGGGCTTGGCGGGGAGCAGAAGGTGGGCTTAACCGAGGCTGGACAGGCTCTCGCTGCCAGAGGCCCCGCTGCCCCGGCCCCGTCTGCTGCTGCCAATTAGCTAACGAACTACAACCTGCAGAGCGCTGGCCGCTCCGACCTCGGGCACAGAGGAAGGACGTACCGGAAGCGGGAGCAAATCCCTACCAGCCTGGTGGGCCCCGTGCCCGCTGCAAGTCCACAGACCATTTGGAGACACGTCTGTGCGCTTCTCGCGCCGAGCCGCACGCTCGCAGCCAGCCGGCCGGTAGGGCTCACCCTCGCAGCGTCCATCTGCTTGGCCCAGCCGAGGTGACCAGCAGGTGCACAGGTGCCGGGGTCCCCATGCATGGGCAGGGGGGTGGGGATGAGGTTGCTCACAGGGCCCCCTTCTCCACCTGGGCCCCGGGACAGGGCGTGGCCCCAGACACAGAGAGCAGAGGCTGGAGTCAGGAAGGGCGTGGTGTGCTGCAGGGAGGGGGCGGGAGGGCACCCTGGATGGGCCGTGGAGGGGTGTGCGGGCAAGGCAGGGTCGCCCTCTTTTGCAGAGCTGGGGCTCAGAGCACGGGTGCAGGGCCCGTGGTTGGGGACAGCAGGGCTGATGCCCGGCGCTGTGCCTGGATGGTTGGGCGGCCGGCGCCCAGCGCTTGCCCGCCGACTTGGCTGATGGGTGCTCCAGGCGACTTTGCAGCGGGGCCTCTCGCCCGGCCCCTCCTGCTGTGTTCACGCTGGATTCTGCTTTGCTCAAGTGAGTCATAAAACAATGCGCCCCAGATCTGGGCACCCCGGTGCGTCGCTGACGGCAGCGCCAGGCTGTGCAGCCTCCATGGAAACAGCACGGCGGAGGTTCCTCAAAACATTAAACATGCAGTTGCTGCAGGATCCAGCAATTCCACTTCGGGTATGTGGTCAAAAGAGTTGAAAACAGAGTTACTCACAACAGCCACAAGCTGAAAGCAGCCCAGCGTCCGTCGGTGGAAGGCGGGCAAATGAGATGTGGCCCATCCACACGGCGGAATATTATTCACTCTTAAAAAAAAAAAAGGAAGGAGATTATTCTGACACCTGCTACAACATGCCTGGAAGACATTGTGCTCGGTGAAACAAGCGGGTCACAAAAGGACAGATACTGCATGATTCCGCTTAGATGAGGTCCCAGAGTTGCTAAATTCATAAGAGACAGACAGTGGAACGGTGGCTGCCAGGGGCTGGGGAGCGGGACACAGGGGAAGGATATTGTTTAAGGGGTGTGGAGTTTCAGTTTTGCAAGGCACAAAAATTTCTGGAGGCGGGTGGGGGTGATGGTCACACAGCAGTGTGGATGTGCTTAACACCACTGATCTGTACGCTTAAAAGTGGTTAAAATGGTAAAATGTGTATCGGTATTAAATGTGTATTAATCTCTTATCACGATTAAGAGAACGGCAATCAGACGCACCCTGGGTGCGCCCCGGGCCCCGATCTCAGCCAGGGATGACGTGGCCACTTCCTCAGCCGCTTCATCCCTCAGACCCGCCTTCCGTTCGGAGCCGTCCTCCAAGTGGAGCCCCGCGTTCGGTGCGATTCCCAGACGCCGCGCAGACCCGGGGCTCCTCGTGCATTGCGGAAAAGGCACCCAGTGAGACATCCAAACACCACATCTATTACCGAAATTATGCAACCGAGAGACATATTTTGTATGTGTAATCCCCTCTCTCTGAAATTGTTTTCATCTGCAATTAGGGAAAAACGTATTTTTCACACTTAAATAGTTTTCTTAAAAATAACACATTCCCTTTCCTTTCTCGCACGAGCCCGATGTTCATGCCTTTTAGCAGATGGCATTTCCTTCTCCCCTTTCTTGACATGCACTCTTCCTTTTTTTTTTTTTTTTTTTTCTGGAAGCCCCTCCCCTGTGAGGCTGGTGCCCTACAGCCAGGACAGAAACCGTGTCACTGGCCCCACCACAGTGTCTGCCCAAGAGCCAGTACCTGTAGACCGGACGAAATTCGTCCTTTCCCGCCCGATAAAATTTGAAGTAGAAAGGACGGGGGTTAATTTGGCAGAAACACTGTGAAGTGCCGCTCGGAGCTCAGAGTCTCCGGGAGTTTGCAGAGAGACCAGTGACCCACGAGAAGGCAGTGGTCAGTGATCGCTCCGGCCACACGGCCCGAGGCTGCAGAGCCGGGAGAGGAAGGTGAAGGTTAATTAATCCGCCAACTGAGCCGAGAGTTCTGGAGGCCAGAGAGGCCGCCTCCCCGGCTCTAGTGAGTTACGGGCCTTGGAGATAAGATACGGGAATCTCCGAAGGTCTCCACACCAAACCCAGAAACAGCGCAGGATGCCACGTCAGTAATGATGCCAGAGAAGCAATAATAGCCACTGTCAGATGGGCCATCGATCGAGACCAGATGGTGGCTGGAATCCACAAATACTTCATTCCTCCATCTGCTCCCAGCCCGACATCCGCCTGACGGGGCCTGGCAAGGTGGGTTTTCCTCCAGACGTCGTCGTTAGCTGCACGTGGCCTGGCCCGGCTGACTCCCGGGCGTGACTCAGGTGGTGTGCCGCAGCGGTGGCGGTTCTGGCCGGGCAGGGCTGGAGGGTGCAAGGGCACCGCGCAGCAACTTGTGATCAAACAAACGCCCGCTGACCCCAACCCCACCGGGCCCTCACGGCCCGGGACACCCGAGCCCTGACCAGCTGTGACCCTGCCAGCGTGGCCGCGTGGTCTCCCTCCCCGGGACGGCCGGACGGGCTGCGCTTGCCCCCGGCCAGGGAAGACCCACCCCCTGCACCGAAGGAACAGTTTGCTCTTGTTTTATCTGCTGAGGAAACAGCCCCGTCCTTCCTTCCCGAGTTTACTCCCCCATCTGCTTTGTCACCTGTCCGCAAATAGCTCCTAGCCCCTCCCGACACTGCTGACCCTGAGATCCACGGACTGTCCACGTAGCGGGAGATTTGCAGGTCCTTACTCACATGTTTTCCCTTCGAGTGGGGCTAATAATCTCGTTAAAGCATCCGGCACCTAAAGCATGGGCAAGACTCTGGAGAAACTGGGAGACGCCAAGAGTTTGGGCACCCGCAGAAGCAACCGCACGTGCAGGCGGGGCTCCCGGGGACCGTGGCCTCAGGGTTCAGGACGCTGGGCTGCACCTGGGGATCAGCTCTGCATTCCAGGGAGCAGGACCCCGAGTCCCAGGGAGGGCGGGTGACCTGCTTGAGGTTTGCAGATAATACTCGGCAGGGCCGGGACTCGGACCCAGCTCTTCTGGGGGTTGTTGCCAAGGGTGGCCCTTGGGCACACGCGGCAGAGCGTGGTGGGGACGGCCACGGAGCCACAAAGGGTGAGTGTCAGGAGGTGGAAACTGCTTGACCAGAGTCCAGGGGGCGGGGGCCTGGCAGGGGTGCCTGCGTGGATAAGAGGGGCTGGCGGGGGTCTCTGGGGGCGTTCTCCATGGCAACCCTCCCGCCACCCCACACGCGATGTTTGGTGCCTTTGGGGCCTGGACAGATGCAAGAGCACAGGCTTTGCATCTGCACACTGGGCTGCTCCTTGCAGAGAGCCCCTGCCCGTCCATTTGCACCCCGATGGGAGGGCAGACGTGGCCTGAATATCCCCCACACCCTGCCTGGCGCCAGGCAAAG